TTCAGTGCGATGCGGCAAAAACGTGAGCCGGCAGCTATGCACTAAGTGGTGTTCCAATGTGCTCCCACATCCAACGGCATGATTGTAGACACTTGACCTTAACTAAGATGAAGCAATGATGACGAAGAACATGCAGTAACAATGAACCGATGATATTGTGTTAATGACCATGTTGTCGTGATCACACTGATGATAATGTGGTAACATGTTGTAACAAAGAGCATGTGACCTCAACAATCGTTAATTGGTTGGGGTTGGGGTCGTCGTGCGCTTCAGCAAAGACAAGACGATTGGGTGGGTGTGTTGTTCTTTTTCATAAGGATCGTTGATCTTTTTCATAAGGATTGATGTTGATAAGGATCTTGGAAAAGACGAACCGATCTTTGAATGGTGTCTTTGGTTCGTTTCATGTTCGGATCATGCTTTTTGGACCACGCAAAAGGAGACACCTCCACGGTCGGGGCCCCGGACCGACAGGTGGAAGCTGAAAGAGGGCACCGGCCTTTAAGCCACCTGGGTGGGGTGAAGGAGTTGTGAAAGAGGTGAGTGACGTGAGTGTTTTCGTGTTTTCACATCGGAGAAACCCGTGGATGGCGTGAAACAGAACGGTGATGGGGTGATGAAAGAGGCTGGTGCCGTGAAACAGGCTTCATCCATCAATTTTTGTTTGGCGGCCAAGTGGCCCCACGAATCGCAGCATAAATGTCCACCTTCCTTCCCTTCTGGCCGACTCAGGGTTTGACTGCTTGCACAAAGATGTCCTCCTCAAATCAGGCAGCTCTTTGAGCTCCTAGGCAGGAGATGCCATGTGGTCACTAGGCCTGGGCTGGGCTGTCTTCATTTCCACACAAAACCACAGCCCTTTTAGGCCCATGCACCACTGTACCACTGGACGAGAGTCCTAGTTCAGGTCTCAACAAAACCTCAACAACACCTCTCATCTCCTGGATCTTCCCGCCGTTCCCCCGTTTTCCCCACCGTTCCCCCGCCTCCACGCTGTGCGCGAAGGTGCAGTCCGAGCCCTTGGCGCAACAATTCCTGTCGGACCACGCAGGACTTCGATGCAACCACCAACCGTCCCGTGCCGTGCCGTCTCGGGCAGTCACCATTACGCCGTGGTCCACGTAAGGGACGAATCAACCAAGGCCCATCAAGGCGAACCGTCTCACAACGCCCGTCGAGACCGTGGAACGGCAGAACCGGCTGTGGCAAGGCGAACGGTGGAACGGCCGGGGGCAGAACTGGCAGAACCGCCTTTCGTAAGCAGGGTTGAGGAAGGAGGAAGCTGAGTGAAGGTGTTGAGGATCAAAAGAACGCCTTGGAAACAAAAAAACAAAGCTGTTGGAACTTGGAACTGTGTTTGTCTTTGTTGGCTTCAAAGTGTTGACCCTTCTTGGTTTGTTTGGAGTCCAACTTCAGAAGTGCTCTTTGCTGAAAGGGAAAATGGGTCCGGCGCTTTTCTGGCAGAGGTGGGCCTGTTGGGTGTTGGGTTGGAACGCGTTGGTTGTTTCTTCACGCGGCACGTGGACCTTGGCGCAAGGTCACCGCTACAGTGCTACAAGCCACGGTTGTGACGCACACAAGCCACGGTGGGTCGGCGTCTTCTCGCTCTCTACTCCCTTGAGCTTCCCAAAGTGGGGAGGGCCCAAGCCCGTCATGCTGTCAGGACCTTCGAGTGCTTTGGGCGTTGCCTTGCTCCCCCCTAAGGCCTCTTCCAGAACATGCAGAGCTGCGTCTTTTGAAGCTGCCTGGCTTTGCGGCAGAGTTGGCATGTTAGAACCGTGACCCTTCAAAAGCTGCTGTCTCTAAGCGATTGGCAGTCTTGCGCAGGACACAAACATTTTGGTACAGCATTACATATAGATTATACAAGCATAGACCCCAAACAGCTTCAAAACGATTCGCTTAGACCAATATCAGTCAAAAATCGATTTCTTGGTACGCCCTACCTTCACCCCAAGAGCAAACTGCTTCATCAGTGAATTTTGGTCGGCATTGACATCGCTATTTGTTCGGCCACACTCCACAGGGACCAGCCAAGAGTTCAGGGGCGCGGCCAAGACAAGGACAAGAGGAGGACAAGGCCTGGACACAGAGCCCAGAGGACAAGAGGAGGACAAGGCCTGGACACAGAGCCCAGCCACAGCGCCCAGCCAATCACAGAGTTCAGGCGCGCGGCCAAGAGGAGGACAAGAGGAGGACAAGGCCTGGACACAGAGCCCAGCCACAGAGCCCAGCCAATCACAGAGTTCAGGCGCGCGGCCAAGAGGAGGACAAGAGGAGGACAAGGCCTAGACACAGAGCCCAGCCACAGAGCCCAGCCGCAGAGTTCAGGGGCGCGGCCAGTGAGTGTGGCCAGCTCTTTTTTTAAGATAGAACCCCAACAGTAAACTGTTTGGGGAAATATATGTATATATACTCTGTTGGTCTCTTTTGGTTTCTGGGATGTGTCTCGAAGTCGTCCTGTTCATCTATCTATCAGCTCTTGTCATCATGTCATCTCCCTGGAAATGAATTTGCATGAATTTGCTATGGCAAAGTCTTGAGCCTCTTCAAGAGATCCTTGCTGGTCTCTTTCTCGCTCGACAAAGCATCATCCTGGAAGCCGTAGGAAGCCGGTGGCACAACAGTTATGAGTCATGACAGTCATGAGTGCCAAACAAACTAAGCATGCCAAATTAATCTAAACCATTATATAGTTAGGCTAGCTTAGTCATGATGGCGACTATCCTAACTAACCCTGCCAGCAAGTCTTTGTTGCATCTACTGGTGAGGTGGACTCCGGGCCGAATCGGTCGAGGCCACCATCAGGTCTCATCCCTCCAGACCCACACTCCGGACCGAAAGCCATCACTTCACATGGACTTACGTTGGAATCACGACCCCGGCCTTTGCCTCCTCCAGAAGCTGGAGAGGCCTTAAAGCCTTGTGAAACAGAAGCCGGGCCTGCTCCTGCTTGCATTGCCCTCCCTCCTTGGATTCTGTTTAGCTACAAAACTCTCTTTCGGAAAACCGGCTTCCGATCTGCGTTTGGAAATGACCGTGCCACGGCATGGCAGTTTGGTGCCTGCATGAACTGAAGCTTCTGCGCCTCCTGCCACGTACGTGCAGAAAGACCAGCTTCCCCTAAACAAAATCAATATGACAATGACCTTTAAATGACCCATGACGGCCATCACACAGAACTCTATGGGTGGTTCTCATGACAATTTGTTCGATCCTTACTTGGAAACAAATCCTGAGATCGACTTCCCACAGAGCGATGGAAGAAAGCAACTCCAGGTGAAGAGGAGATTGTGAGATTTTCTTCGATCATTTGCAGATTCTGTGACTTGCACCACTCTCCAATGCCTTGAAAGCTGATGTGGGTAGACCCACACCTCAGCTGCGTCTGCTTCTGTCCTGTCTCAAGCCTCCGACTGTTGGTTCCCTTGCGGCAGAAATGGTGGTTTTGCTTGGTCTTGTTAAAATTTATGGAAGAAAGCTACTTGAGCATCGCTCAAAACCTATCGAGAATTTGTTCTAATGGGCTCTTCTTTCGCAAATTCCTTTCGCAACACTTTTGCGGCTTGTGTTTTGGCTTTCGCGCGCTGCATTCTGCGCAAAAACACTTTCGCAAGCTTTCGCGGACGGAACTGATTTCGCAAGCTTTTGCCAACTTTCCCGAGCTTTCGCAAGCTTTCGCCAATGAAAAGCTCGCACAATCTTTCGCGGACCTTTCGCGACTGCATGTGTTGCTTTCGCGAAGGCATAATACATTAACCTCTCTTCAAATTGTTAGTTGGGAAGTTTTGGCCGCTGCTCACTTGTCCAACTCAAACAATATTGTCTTTGGCCCTGGAGCTACATGTTGCGTTCACCAAATCTATATTATAGCAGGTCAGCAAAGTCAACCAAAGTGCTTGTATGACCCAGTTTGCAGCGTTTCACGCCCATAATCTGCGACTGGCTAGCTGTTGGTCTAGACAACAGGCATAAACGACCTGCCCTTAGCACAAATCTTCTTTCCGTAACTAGAAGCTACTAGGTGGAGGCGCTATTAGGTTGGAGGCCATCGCTAGTAACAATAAAGCTTTCTAGCAACCAGAAGCTCTCCTTGGCAATCGTTTCACAGGTCCTCCCGTTCACCCGTTCGCCCTCGCGTCTCCAAGGGTGGCTCCGGAACGTTCCGGACCAGTGTGGAGGTCCGTTTGGCGGAGTCCGTTTTGCTGATTTCTGGTTTGGCCTGACGAGTCTCAGTCAGGGTCATTCTCTCACCTTGGGGGTTGTGAACGCAAAAAAAGCGTGGCCGCGTACCAGTGTACCAACCAAGATCTCTCCTGGTTCCAGAGTAGAAACCCTTGCGGCCCTTGCGATCATTCTTTTTTGCAAACAATAGCAACTGCCCTGTCGCACGTCTAACCCTCCTCGGCAAACGAGTTCGAACGCCTCTAGAACGCCTCCGTCGTTCGTCTTCGTAAACCGAGGGGCTCAAGGAGTTGGGCGTCCAAAAATCCACGGGGAAGGACCTCATTCGGCCACCAAAAAAGAAATATCCAAACAACATGCACTAAAAACAAAGATCGTGAGCCGCACACTGCAAGTACCTGTAAGTAGGTGGGATGGAAACACTCGCGAGAATCGATGGATTTTGGGTTCAAAATCCAAGGTGAAATAGCGAGACCTGCTCAACGGGTGAGATGATGAGATAAAGCTTGATGCAGTCCCAGCCAAGTAGCGTGGAATCATCCAATTTCAAATCCGAGAAGGGTGGCTGCCCAAAGACCAAACCTCAGCAACTCGAAAAATGGGTAGCACAGCAGCCCTAAAAAGCGCACTATGCATGAGCAGGTTTGGGTGCCTTCTTGTGGCCCACGACTAAGCCATAGTAAGCCCCTCCAATCACGTCATCGGATTGCAGCAAGGGAGGCACCATGTGCACGTGTGGCCGTCTACTTGTCCAGCCTCGCCATCCCACCCAGGGATGGCCCTGACCCTCAGCCCCACAGCCACAGATCCAACTCTACCGTGCTTAAAGATACTGAGCTCCACAATTTTGATATAAAGAGAGATAAAGATAGACATGGACATAGATAGATAGATAGATAGATAGACAGACAGACAGACAGACAGACGGACAAATAGATAGAGCTATTCTATAGATAGAGCTATTCTATAGATAGTCTGTTCGATAAACAGGCAGGTAGGTAAAAATAGAAAGTGAGATTGACAAGTGGATGGATAGATTCAGAGAATTGGTCGAATTGATGGATGAATCATGATGAATCGATTGGCCGACTTCGTTGATCCTCGTGGAATTGCTTCTAATCTGGTTCTGAATGTCTCTTCCGACCAGAAGAATCCAGAGTTCACATCTTTAGATTCAACTACCAGAGGCCTCCAGCCTGACCCAGCGAAACGGCTGATCAAACAACGAAACCATGTCGAAGCTGATTTGAATGGTCCTTAATTGCCACACGACTTGTGTTTTTACTAAGGATTGTGCACAAAAACCAGCTTGACGATTCTTAAAATGCTCATGGAAGGCTAGGGTGACACACCAAACGATTCTGGATTTCCTGATCTGCGAAGCCACTTGTTGCCGTCACAACAGCGACACCGCTCGCCCGTGCATCACAACCCTCTCGCGCCTGAGAAATCCAGGCCAGGAAAAACCAAGGAATTCAACCTTGGCATCATCTCCACGTGTTTGACATGGGTCTTTTGCTTCTGCATCATGGATATTACATAGACATTTAATATAGAAATATTAAGTTATATAAGTGGAGCAACTGCATAGATGTCTGCATATAGGGGTTCTCCAAATCTTCTAAGGCGGCTCCTTGAAAACTGCCCTTTCATGGCCCTTTCGCGAGAATCATCGTACTTCTCAAGGAAAACAAGTGAAACATGAATTATATACTTAACTGATTTCTGCAGTCAAGATTCAATATCTAAATATCTAATACACACACTGATGCACTTCCAGCAGGTAGCATGATATGATCTTGTTGATTTATGTACTGTATGTTGCATATGTCTAAGTTACTTTATGTCTTTCACCCTCGAATCGCTGGCCTTTCGCACACAGGAGTTTCCCTTTCGCAGAAGGTCTGTTTTGACAGTTTCATCCAAATAACTGGCCTATGACGGGTCGGACTCCCAACAGAAAAAAATTGAACAACGATGAGTATGAACTCTCCATGTGGAGACTTCGAAGGGGTGGCATATAGAACCTGTCTTTTTTAGAGAAGTCCCTGTGGAAGAGCGGAGCTAGGACGCTACTAGGGGCTCCTGGCCGTACTATTAGGAGCAAGTAGCTACTAGTAACAAAAGCTACTAGGGGCTCCTGGCATCGCTACGAACGGAGCGTTCGGACGCTAAGCCTATTCGGTTTGTGGCCAGACCCTTCCAACCGTTCTTGGCCACCGGATTTGTCCAAGGGACGAATCCGTCGCTGCCTCACCCCACGTCTGGGGCCACGATTTGGGCCTCAGCGTGCCGTCGCAGCGACGGGGTCGCAGACAGAGAACCACCACGGCGGCATGCACCGTGAACCGCGCGTCGACACGGGATTGAAAGAGAAACAAAACACATTCCAAGCACAGGTCGGTGGACTGCAAAAATGACGTCCAAGGTTAAGAAAACATGAAGTGTCTTACAGGTGCTTGGTGTTTGAATCAGCAAGCTCATGGAGCTCCAATTTTGACACATAGCTCCATTCAAAAGCGGTTTGCTCAAGATTGGCTTGTGTCAGTGCAGCCACGTGATGTGCCAAAGCATCTAGGTGTCCATTTAACTTGGGCAGCCAACCAATGTGCTTTGGTCTATTTTCCTTCTTCTAGGGCTCCAACTGTGAGGTCTCCTGTTAGATACACACCTATGTGGGCGTGCGAACCAAAAAACACCCGTCCAAGCGTCAGTGGTGGCGACACGTTGCCCAGACCTGGGTGGCGAGTCTTTTTCCGCCGATGAGTCGGGCGGAAAGAGAGTCGGCGTGGAAGACTGATAGATGGCAGAAACCCGAGGGCCACACGGAGTGTTTATGATACGTTCATAGTTTCTTGTTACTAGTAGCCATGGCCTCCAACAATATCGATGGCCGGAAACACCTAGTAGCTAAGCAGCTAGCTACTCACAAGGAGTAGAATAATGATTCGACCATTGGGTGTGATGTCAATGCATGTCGATGCATGTCATGTGTCTTTGCAAATCATCCACCCAAACTTGTTGGGATTAATCGAAGTTGTTCAAAAGGCTTTGGCTTGTCAATGATTGGCTTCGTCACAAAAGCTTGACGACAATGACGAACCTCAATCCCGAAAGCTCGTGGGACCGCACTGACATAAGCAGGACCGTGCTCTTCAAAGACAGCCGCCATCGGGCCTCGTGGCGGGCTGAGCTTTCTGAAGGTTCCCAAGGTGCTGAGCCTCTGCTGATTCTTCGATAGATCTTTCCTTGAAGAGAACCAGGATGATGCAGACCATTCCCCCTTTGAGACGAAAGCAGCCTCCTTGCCTGGAGTACTAGTTCTCTTTCAAGCTGTCTTGATCTCTTTCTCTCCAGTATCTCTCGCATTCTCTCGCAACTTTTCGGCCCATCTCCTGCCTGGTCAGAGCAAAACCTGCTGCAACCCCAAAGAGTAAGCTTAAACAGAAGCGTGTTGAGCCTGTCAAGCCTTGAACCAATACGGCAAAACATGTCACCATGTGCACCATGAATTGACATGAGGGATAGGATACGATATGGGGTGTTGAACTACTGCCACATTTAGGCCCAATCTAAGCAGACGTTGATGGAGAGGTCCCAACAAACTGGCCCTGGAAACCTTCCGAAGCTCGAGCCATCCAATATCGTCACATCCAGTCTCATCTCCCGTCCCAGTTCGGCCCAGGACCGAACTTCCGAGTTTCCGAACTCTTTGGTTGGGCCGAACGTCTGTGAGGACGTATACAGAATGCCACAGAATCACTCCGGGAAAAAAGGAAACTCCTCTCCAGAAACTCCTCTCTCGTCTCCAGAAACTATCTTCCGACCCCCACTCCCAATATCTCCCAATCGCCTCCCTCGCCCCGATCCGCCTTGGGCTGGGCTCATCCCAAGGGCCTCGAACTCCCCGAGAAGAGAGGGATCAGCGGCCGAGAGAGTGAAGAACGGAAAGGAGAAAAAACGACGATGGCAGCGAAAAAGAGAAAAGAAACGGATGATGATGATGATGATGATGATGATGATGATGATCATGATGACGGTGATGATGATGATGACGGTGATGATGATGATGATGATGATGATGATGACGAGGATGATGACGATGATGATGATGACGATGATGATGATGACGATGATGATGATGACGA